ATCATCATTAATGATTCACATATTAGTCTAGAGAGAATATAATGTTATTAAGTTAGTGTTTGGTCGCTAATATTATTTGGGTGAAAATTTGAATGAATTTCACATGTGTTTGGTGATAATATTTGGAAAATATACTCTCTTTTTTTTTAAAAAAAAAAAGTGATTTATATCCATAAGTTTAAAAACTATCATTACTTCCATAACAAGTCTATTGAGATTTGTTATAACAAATAACTAGTAGTGTCGATTACACTGAAGCAACGTGGTAGTTTGGAGTGAGTGCAACAAATATTGTTTCATATATTGTGAAGTAGACGAAGCACACGACTTTGTTACCCTGAGACGATCGTTCATAATTTTCATCGACAACCATATCATCGGTTTTATATTCGTCGAATATTTCATCATTATTTAGATATTCATATAAAAAAATATATTTTATATAACCCAAACATATAGTATAGAGAATGTTTGTAAAAAATAAAATTAGATGTACAATCTAAATTTTTAGAAGCTCCAAATTAATGAAATTTTGCCTACATACTAGTTGTTTCTAGTACTTAAAAATTTTAGATTATTTGTTAAATAATGACAAATTACATGAATAAACATTAAGTACTAACAGATTTCTGAAATTTTACTTGGACAATCTATGACCACATGAATTGTAAAAGATTATAGTAATATGACGTTAAATCATTTTACAAAAATAATTTGAGACACAAAGTAGATGAAGTTAATAGAATGTTTAGATATACAATATGAAACCTTAACTTAAAATTATAATATGAAATTAGAGTTCCAAATTTCAATTTTTGAAGTTGTTAGCACTATTTTTCTTAATATTACATGATTGAAATGATAATATTATATCTTAATGAACAAATGAAAGCTATGTTTTGAATCCCTCTAATTAAAGGAACAGAAAAACAGAAGTGCAATAGACATATTTAGTCTATTATTCCCTGAACTTTATGAAGACCATGTGCAATGATAGAAATTAGAAAAACATAAAATCACAATTTGACGAACAAATCTTATCAACCTCAATTATCATCATCAACAATATATTTAATTAGTACTAATTGTTGGACCAACCATCATTAACAGTAATTGGCATTGTCCCCTTTATGAAAAAAAACAAACATTATCCAATCAGGACAAATTTTTGCTATATGATTTATACAATATAACCAAAATAAGTTTCATATCCAAATTATTATTTATTCGTTGAGAAAGATACCTCAATGATGTGTATATCAAATGTAATAAAAATACAAAATTTATTTTTAATATAATCTTGCAACAAGTAAAATATAACGTTTATATATACATATATATTATTTATTTATGTAACAATAAAAATATATATATATATCACCTCGAAACAAATGAATCTATTGATTATAAATGAAAAAATAAAAAGTTATATATGACCTTTTCATGAGACTGTGATGATGGATTAATAAAGCTAAATATACTAGTATTATATATTTTCATACTATACTTTAAACATAACATTAAATTATTTAATTTTGATATAAAGATGCAAAAGGCTTTCAAAATCGATAGCAAATAATTTGTTTGGACAAGTGTAGGTGTCTAAAATATAGTCAAATCTAAGTACATAGATATTTTTTTGACTATATTTATTTAATGCCTTTTTGTATCGATGTTATTTTTTCTAAAGTATTTCTGACTTCTGATTTAAAGTCTAACCCCTCCTAGAGTAGCCTTGGGAATCGTCCTGCTTTTTCCATAATTATTTTTAACAATTTAACATATTAAAAGATGCTTAAGTAAAAAATGGTTAAAATTGCGTATAAGATTGATTCATTTTAAATTTTATTTGTTAGGTTTATATCGACTTGATTCAATCGTATTTATTATTAATGTATAAATATGTTAAATTGTTAAAAAAAATTAAAAATTATTGATTAATTAATTATTAGTATCAATTAAGGTTAGAAAATTAATCGTTGATATCGTACTGAAAATTTTGTTGTTTGAAAATCACTTACAAGTTACAAAAGATGTGATATACCTAATCTAATAGGGTATTTTAGAAATTATTAGTGTAAGTAATTTGTGACTAAAATTAATTGATTGAATATAATCTATCGGTTTGAACTAATTATAAGCAGTATACGATATTAGAAATATTACTTTCTTCTGTACAGTAATAGTTGTTCATTATTAATTTTGCACGTTTTTTTAAAAAACTATAAATTGAAATAATAAATGATAGAGAAGAGTAAATTAAGAACTAATTAATGAAATGACAAGTATTTTTTTGATTATATCAAAATAGTATAGTAAATAACTAATTATTAAACGGAGAAAATAATTATAAATAGAAAATAACAAGTATAACATTTAATACAAAATGAATTAATTGATTTACATAACGTGACTCAATATATTTACAGTACTGTAAATGCCAACTGAAATATAGAAAGAAAAAGACATTACAACATGAATAGACTCATGGAGGATACCATATGCTAATAATATTTAATGTAAATGAAATTAAATTTGGGCGGCCTATGGAGTGAGACTGGGACAATTCGAATTACACTAACTCAGCGGTTGATGAGATTTTAATGACGAAGGTGTTTTCTATTTATCTATCTCGCTTTTGATGTCTTTTTAGTATCGTTACTCAATATTCGTTTTGAAATTATATGAACGTAAGTTGTATTCAACTAAAAAGTAACTATACTTTCACTGTGTATCGATAATATTTCTGTATATTCTGCTATTTTATACCTCACTTGTGCAATTTCACATAACAGTTGTTATTGAGTCGTATAATTTATTAAAGCGAAAAACATTCCTTAGGAGGGATTTGAGCGTTTACTTTCAAATTGAATTTGTTTATGAGTTTGCATAAAATTTAAACTTATATTTCAAACTATAATTTTAAATCACAAAATTCCTAAAATGTAGAAATTCAAATATTTACAAATATAAAATTTGACCGATAAATTTATGATCAGATTATTTGTAAACCACAATGAATGGATTTTATCAAAGAAAAATTAATTAGTATTACAATTATAGATCTAGTGGACTAGTGAATATTTATAAAATTATGGTGTTGTGCTCTTTATTATGGTGTGTACGATGGTTGGTGGTGAATGAATACCAATAATGAAGAAAGTTTTAAGTGTAAACCAATTATTATTTTTATTTTTATTAACTACAAGAAAGGGCTTATCATAAATTTTAACTATAATATTGAGTATCGACTATAAAGGAATACAAAAGAGAAAAAAGACAATGACATAACCGTCGAACATAAAAGGCAAAGATTCGCGTTTTAATTTTAGCTTCATTTATAAATGGATGATATTTTGGTTTCATTTCGCCTCTTTCTTTGCTTTATCTAATGTATTGTCTATCGACAAACAATTAATCGTTCAATTGTAGTTACAGTTTGTGAACTAGGTAAAAATTCAATAGTTTAGATTTGAACAATGTATTTATATTTTTTTTCAAAATTAATATATAAAGCAATTTATTCATGACTCATTAAGAAAATACAATTATAATTGATCTTTTCAAAATCTATAAACTAGAAATCCTAGATCCGTTTCGTTCCACTTTTTGTTGATGACATAACGGTTGATTTCAAAAGGATTAGCATAAAGTTAAAGCCCAATAAGACTGCTGGTATGGGCCTTCCTTTTTTTACAGGCTCAGTATAAAGTGCAGCTCAAAGCCCAAGTTTAGATGGGCCAGTTCTTGATGAGGCTTGATGCAATGAGTATGGGAGCCCAATCACAGTCTTGTCACATTAGTATCCACCTAGAGGACTGGTATTCAACTTTTAGCCTACCTAAGAAAAGCAAGTAGTATTACCTTAACAACAATATATCGAGTGAAATTTCGTTAAATGGGGTCTGAAAAGAATATAATGTACACATAGCTTACCACTATCTCGCGTATGTACAAAGATTGTTACCGAAAGACCTTCAACTCAATTGTTCAAGTGCATCAAGCCAAATTTTCAACACATTGATTTAAAATGGAAGTATAATTTGGAAAATAGTAGAATAAGTAAAAGGGAGAATTGTATATAATAGCAAACTAATAACCTAAAATAAATGGAATAGCTAGGATTTGATTTAATTGTGCTCCATAGCAAACGTTAGCTAAAATTTGCCAGCGTCTCC